TTCACAACGGGACTATTTTTTGACCTATCTAAAGCCTTTGACCTAGTTTCACATGACCTATTGTTACAGAAATTGGAAAAGATTGGAATTAGAGGACCAACCCTTCATTGGATAACAACATATCTTTATAACAGAAAACAATGTGTTATTATTACTAAAGCCGATGTAAATGGGGACATAATTCCATGCTCGTCCGAATACCGAAACAAGAAATATGGCGTTCCACAGGGAAGTGTTCTCGGTCCAATTCTGTTTTTGTTGTCCTTAATTGACGTTGTTAATATTACGAAGCATAAATGTATTCTATTTGCTGATGACATTTCAATAATCGTGACTTCCAATAAAAAAAATAATAACTTGAGTGACCACGAAGCTGACATAAATAATACAATAGGTACTTTAATTAACTGGGTTGACATACATAATTTAAAAATTAATTTAGACAAATCTTTATATATACAATTTAATAAATGCACTAATAATAAACATAATATTAAACTTAACATTCCAAAAATAAAAGCAGCTAGTCATACGAAATTTTTAGGTTTAACTATAGATGACGATATAAATTGGAAACTACATGGAAGCGATGTCTCTATCGAAATAAATAAATTCGTGTATGCACTTAAACAAATAAAAAACATAACAAACATAAAAACCGCTGTCATGTCCTACCATGCATATGTAGAATCTCTACTACGGTATGGTCTTATAATGTGGGGCAACAGCACTGATCAAAACAAAGCATTTGTCGCGCAAAAAAAATGCATTAGAGCTATATGTGGGCAAAAACCAAATGAATCGTGTAACGTGTTTAAAAAACTTGGCTTATTATCACTACCATCACTTTATATCTATGAAGTATGCATGTTTGTACATAAGCACAAAACGTTGTTTACAACGATAGATGATATAAATTCCCGCAATCGTCGAGATCCATATAGACTTGTACTAAACGATAATCCTAGAATAAGAAAATATAATAAAAGTTGTTTATTTATGTGTGTTCACTTATATAATAAGATACCTAATTATTTAAAAATATTAAATACAAGATCATTTAAATTAAAACTGTATCAGTGGCTAAATAATTGTAATTTCTATAGTGTCAAGGATTTTTGTAGCCAAAAATATTAATGTAAAAAAAAAATTTGCATACTATGAATAACCATAGCAAAACACGCTGATATGAAAGTAAAATATACCATGTTTTATGCAAATAAAATATTATTATTATTATTATTGGGGTATCTATATAGTTTTCTCATCTGCTTGGGTTCTATAAATATATAATTATAAATGAAAATGAAAGGATAAATATACATAAATATCAATAACATAAAATAAATATAAAAGTACATAAATAAGTAAAAGCCCAACCAGATGGAGGCCCTCGGCAGGGGAGACCAAACGGCCGAGGGTTAGGGGGAAAGGAAAACAAACCGGCGGACGATGCGGGCGGTATCGAGGAGCACCGCCTTCTGCATTTGAACCTGGAGCGGTCCGCCACGTAGTCCCAGCCGCCTCAGATGACCCGAGAGGCTGACTGGGATTAGCCCGTTTGCAGAGACGACTACAGGAATAATTTCGGTCCGCAGACCACCCCACATGTCGGTCACCTCGTGAGCCAGGTCCAGATATTTTGTTTGCTTGTCTGTTTCGGCTTTCACGAGGTTCTCGTCATACGGAATGGTAATGTCGACCAAAAATATCCTTGACTGTGCCCGGTCCATCAGCACAATATCAGGCTTATTCGCAAGAATAGTCCTGTCTGTGATGATGGCCCGGTCCCAATAGAGCCTGGCGCGATCATTTTCGAGCACGGCTTCCGGCAAGTACTTGTAATACGGCAATTTCCGATCCACGAGACCGTATTTCAGAGCGAGCTCCTGGTGTAGAATTCTGGCTACTAGGTTGTGCCTGTGCAAGTACTCAGAGTTAGAAAGCGCCGAACAACCGGAGATGACATGCCTAAGTGACTCACCGGGATGGCGACAAGCTCGACAGATGTCGACGGTGCCATCCTTTAGGATGTATCTCCGATAGTTGTTGGTCTTAATAACCTGATCCTGTATTGCACAGACAAAACCCCTTATTATTATTATTATTATTATGGGGTATCTATATAGTTTTCTCATCTGGTTGGGTTCTATAAATATATAATTATAAATGAAAATGAAAAGATAAATATACATAAATATCAATAACATAAAATAAATATAAAAGTACATAAATAAGTAAAAGCCCAACCAGATGGAGGCCCTCGGCAGGGGAGACCAAACGGCCGAGGGTTAGGGGGAAAGGGAAAGAAACCGGCGGACGATGCGAGCGGTATCGAGGAGCACCGCCTTCTGCATTTGAACCTGGAGCGGTCCGCCACGTAGTCCCAGCCGCCTCGGATGACCCGAGAGGCTGACTGGGATTAGCCCGTTTGCAGAGACGACTACAGGAATAATTTCGGTTGGCAGACCACCCCACATGTCGGTCACCTCGTGAGCCAGGTCCAGATATTTTGTTTGCTTGTCTGTTTCGGCTTTCACGAGGTTCTCGTCATACGGAATGGTAATGTCGACCAAAAATATCCTTGACTGTGCCCGGTCCATCAGCACAATATCAGGCTTATTCGCAAGAATAGTCCTGTCTGTGATGATGGCCCGGTCCCAATAGAGCCTGGCGCGATCATTTTCGAGCACGGCTTCCGGCAAGTACTTGTAGTACGGCAATTTCCGGTCCACGAGACCGTATTTCAGAGCGAGCTCCTGGTGTAGAATTCTGGCTACTAGGTTGTGCCTGTGCAAGTACTCAGAGTTAGAAAGCGCCGAACAACCGGAGATAACATGCCTGAGTGACTCACCGGGATGGCGACAAGCTCGACAGATGTCGACGGTGCCATCCTTTAGGATGTATCTCCGATAGTTGTTGGTCTTAATAACCTGATCCTGTATTGCACAGACAAAACCCTCGGTTTCCCCGAAGAGATCACCAAAGCGTAGCCAGTGGAGGGAGGCTACTGTGTCTACGAAAGGCTCATGTAGAGCCTTGTAGAACCTCCCGTGGAGCTCCTTCTCCTTCCATACGGTCTCCCGGTCGGAAATGCTCTGCACTGCCGGGTCTTGCCATTGCTCGTTGGCTAAGGATAGAGGGGTAAGTCCTTTATCACAAGAAATGACGTCCTTATAGAATGGATCATCCGATCTCGCCAGGAAGTAATCACGGAGGCTGCACACTTCGCGATTATGCATGGTGAGCGCGCTCAAGAAGCCACGACCACCATGCTTTCGCGGCAAGTACAGCCTCATTACCGACGATCTCGGATGATGCATCCTATGGGACGTCATGGTAGTGCGGACTTTTCTATCCAGGGCGTTAAGTTCAGTCTGAGTCCACCTGAGTATGCCAAAGGTATACATGAGGACAGGCATGACCCAACCGTTATATGCGTGTGCCTTATTCACACCGGACAAAAGGCTGTTAAGCACTTTGGTCAAGCGTGCATAAAACACGTCGCAAACTGACTGTTTCATACCAGCCTCGTCGATACCGATGTTCTGTGACATACCCAGGTATCGGTATGTTTCAGCCTCGGAAAGGGTTCTTAAGTTGACGGGCATAGATAAGTCTATGCCCTCAGAGTTAGCAACCCTTCCCCTTTCAACATGGAGGACCGCACACTTATCCGTCCCCAGCTCCATTCTAATAGAATTGCTAAATTCACACATGATGTTTAGCAATTCCATAAGATGGGAGCGACTGGAGGCGAATAATTTGAGGTCATCCATATAGAAAAGGTGGGTCACTTTTGTACCTCCTTTCCGAAGCTGAAATCCCCTCCCGGAGCCCTCCAGTAAAGTATTGAGAGGGTTCAAAGAGAGGCAGAACCAGATTGGACTCAGACAGTCGCCCTGGAATATACCCCTTCTTATCCTTATGCGGCTTTCCGCAGCCGTCATCCGCTCGCCTAGATGACAGAGGATCGTACTCCACTGCCCCATACACTGCTCGAGGAAGTCTCGAACTGTACGTAGCTCGAGGACCCTCTTTAGCCATGTATGGGGCACCGAGTCAAATGCCTTTCTGTAATCTATCCAGGCGGCGGAGAAGTTCCGACGGTTGCGTTTCACCACTTTGCCAATGACCGCGTCAATGAGGAGTGGTTCCTTGGTTCCACGACCTCGCCGCCCGGACATCCATTTTGAGCGCGCGACATCACCTGATTTGAGTCCAGGTGACGAGCGATTCTCGCGCTCAAAATGGATGTTAGTGTCTTGTATATGGTCGGTAGACACGTGATGGGGCGGTATTTGCTCGGGTCTGTGGCACCCTGATCTTTAGGAACCAAATGAGTGATCCCAGTAGTGAAGAGGCTTGGGAGCGACTTCTGGTTGAGAGCCTCTTGAAACTGTCGGGCGAGCACAGAGTGACACACCATGAACCCCTTCAGCCAGTAGTGATGCAGCCCGTCAAGCCCCGGACTTTTCCAGTTCGGGGCCCTACGGACCGCCTCAGCTACGTCATCCGGCGTTATGATGACGGGGTCCATGGGCGTAATACTCGCACACTGACTCGCCACAACTTCCGTCCAAGGGCCCTCGTTGTGGTTTACGGGCTCTGACCACAGGCTGCGCCAGAATGCGACCGTGTCGGCCTGATTTGGTGCAGGGCCCGTTCCACTTACTATTGGTCGCTCCAATGATTTATAGAGCCTCTTCTGATCACTCTGGAAGAGACGATTCTGGTTGAACCGTGTCGACCTCTCGGTATATCGCCGAATCCGCTTTCCCCAAGCAGCTATTCTTTGCTTCAGGTCGTCTATGCGCTCCGTCAGTTTTTGCATTATATCCGGCTGGGACAAACTAACATTTGTCCCAGCAAACGCCATCCTGACGGTGCGCACAATCCTTGGCCTGGTATTGCCTGACCTGAAGCATATCAGTCTGCCGATGAGGGCCCTAGCCTTTGCGATACGTTCTTCAATTCTTATTCTCCAGGCTGGGATAGCACTACTTTGTCCAGTAGCGCGTCCAGCCGTGGAAAGTTTGGCGCCTATAATACGGCAGACTGCCAGTGCGGCGCCAAAAAGAATTGAGTCCGTCTCGCAAAGGTCCCGGCTGGCTTCCAAATAGGTAACCAGCATTGGGTTCAGAGCCCTCACGACAGCCCGATTCCGCTTGCTTAGGGCTAAGCGGGGGAAGTCGCGGTCGATTTTCGAGAGTCGTACTGCGCGTTTCCACAATCGCCTCTTCCAATGTACTCCTCATTTGCTCTAGTTCCAGTTCCTGGGCGACTGTTCCATCATCGTTTGAATCAACCACAACTGGCGTATTCACGGCGGCATCCACATTTGCCGTTTGCTCGGCAAGTTGTGGCGCCGCATCCTCAGCCGCAGCATTTTCACCCGATGAAGGAACAGCCTCACGTCGTAGCCGTTCGAGTTCGGTGACATCAAATGTATTTGAGCGCAAGATATACCGAACTCGGTCTGCCAGGTTTTGCTCGGTGACGGTTACAAATGGCTCCAGCTCAGCAAAAAAGTCGATGCATCCTTGCCCGATACGCAAAACCTCCAGTTTCTCCCCCTTTCGCCCTAAAATACGCCAGCAATGCGTTGCTGTTCATCTGGGTTGTCCAACGCATGCGGCGTACTCCACCAGTGGCGAGTGCCGATTGCTGAGCCCGCGAAGACCCTGCCGATACCAAGCCAGCTGGTGGGGATGATGGATGCGAGGAGCTGCTGGGTGGTCGTGCAGCACCTCGCGCTCGGCTGGCGGTTCGCATGCTGTCGCGTCCAGCGCCAGCTCCAGACGCGCCCTGGCGACCTCCAGGCAGCGGCCCTTTGCGCGTTCCATTTGATTCCATCATCCATTTTAGGGCGTCATTTAGCGGGAGACGCCCAGACCCGGCGCCGTTTCATGGTTAGGCCATGTGCACAAGCGGGCCTTGGCACCTTCAATTTTTGCCGAGGCACGGCACTAACACCTCTTGGCAAGGTGCTGACTGACTGCGCCGACGTAGCGGTTTTGTCACATAACCGTTATATCAGCGGGCAATGGGGTCGTCACTTCCCTACGCCTTGTTATTATTATTATTATTATTATTGTGGGGTATCTATATAGTTTTCTCATCTGGTTGGGTTCTATAAATATATAATTATAAATGAAAATGAAAAGATAAATATACATATATATCAATAACATAAAATAAATATAAAAATACATAAATAAATAAAAGCCCAACCAGATGGAGGCCCTCGGCAGGGGAGACCAAACGGCCGAGGGTTAGGGGGAAAGGGAAAGAAACCGGCGGACGATGCGGGGGGTTTCGAGGAGCACCGCCTTCTGCATTTGAGCCCGGAGCGGTCCGCCACGTAGTCCCAGTCGCCTCAGATGACCCGAGAGGCTGACTGGGATTAGCCCGTTTGCAGAGACGACTACAGGAATAATTTCGGTCGGCAGACCACCCCACATGTCGGTCACCTCGTGAGCCAGGTCCAGATATTTTGTTTGCTTGTCTGTTTCGGCTTTCACGAGGTTCTCGTCATACGGAATGGTAATGTCGACCAAAAATATCCTTGACTGTGCCCTGTCCATCAGCACAATATCAGGCTTATTCGCAAGAATAGTCCTGTCTGTGATGATGGCCCGGTCCCAATAGAGCCTGGCGCGATCATTTTCGAGCACGGCTTCCGGCAAGTACTTGTAATACGGCAATTTCCGATCCACGAGACCGTATTTCAGAGCGAGCTCCTGGTGAAGAATTCTGGCTACTAGGTTGTGCCTGTGCAAGTACTCAGAGTTAGAAAGCGCCGAACAACCGGAGATGACATGCCTAAGTGACTCACCGGGATGGCGACAAGCTCGACAGATGTCCACGGTGCCATCCTTTAGGATGTATCTCCGATAGTTGTTGGTCTTAATAACCTGATCCTGTATTGCACAGACAAAACCCTCGGTTTCCCCCGAAGAGATCACCAAAGCGTAGCCAGTGGAGGGAGGCTACTGTGTCTACGAAAGGCTCATGTAGAGCCTTGTAGAACCTCCCGTGGAGCTCCTTCTCCTTCCATACGTTCTCCCGGTCGGAAATTGTCTGCACTGCCGGGTCTTGCCATTGCTCGTTGGCTAAGGATAGAGGGGTAAGTCCTTTATCACTAGAAATGACGTCCTTATAGAATGGATCATCCGATCTCGCCAGGAAGTAATTACGGAGGCTGCACACTTCGCGATTATGCATGGTGAGCGCGCTCAAGAAGCCACGCCCACCATGCTTTCGCGGCAAGTACAGCCTCATTACCGACGATCTCGGATGATGCATCCTGTGGGACGTCATGGTAGTGCGGACTTTTCTATCCAGGGCGTTAAGTTCAGTCTGAGTCCACCTGAGTATGCCAAAGGTATACATGAGGACAGGCATGACCCAGCCGTTATATGCGTGTGTCTTATTCACACCGGACAAAAGGCTGTTAAGCACTTTGGTCAAGCGTGCATAAAACACGTCGCAAACTGACTGTTTCATACCAGCCTCATCGATACCGATGTTCTGTGACATACCCAGGTATCGGTATGTTTCAGCCTCGGAAAGGGTCCTTAAGTTGACGGGCATAGATAAGTCTATGCCCTCAGAGTTAGCAACCCTCCCCCTTTCAACATGGAGGACCGCACACTTATCCGTTCCCAGCTCCATTCCAATAGAATTGCTAAATTCACAAGTGATGTTTAGCAATTCCATAAGATGGGAGCGACTGGAGGCGAATAACTTGAGGTCATCCATATAGAAAAGGTGGGTCACTTTTGTACCTCCTTTCCGAAGCTGAAATCCCCTCCCGGAGTCCTCCAGTAAAGTACTGAGAGGGTTCAGGGAGAGGCAAAACCAGATTGGACTCAGACAATCGCCCTGGAAGATACCCCTTCTTATCCTTATGTGGTTCTCCGCAGCCATCATCCGCTCGCCCAGATAGCAAAGGATCGTACTCCATTGCCCCATACACTGCTCGAGGAAGTCTCCAACTGTACAGTCAATTTTGTACAGCTGGAGGACTCTCTTTAGCCATGTATGGGGCACCGAGTCGAATGCCTTTCTGTAGTCTATCCAGGCGGCGGAGAAATTCCGACGGTTGCGTTTCACCACTTTGCCAATGACCGCGTCAATGAGGAGTGGTTCCTTGGTTCCACGACCACCGCCCCGGCATCCATTTTGAGCGCGTGACATCACCTGATTTAGCTCCAGGTGACGAGTGATTCTCGCGCTCAAAATGGATGTCAGTGTCTTATATATGGTGGGTAGACACGTGATGGGGCGGTATTTGCTCGGGTCTGTGGTATCCTGATCTTTAGGAACCAAATGAGTGATCCCAGTAGTGAAGAGGCTCGGGAGCGACTTCTGATCGAGAGCCTCTTGAAACTGTCGGGCGAGCACAGCGTGACACACTATGAACCCCTTCAGCCAGTAATGATGCAGCCCGTCGAGCCCCGGACTTTTCCAGTTCGGGGCCCTACGGACCGCCTCAGCCACGTCTTCAGGCGTTATGGTGACGGGGGTCCATAGGCGTAACACTTGCACTCTGGCTCGCCACAACTTCCATCCAAGGGCCCTCGCTGTGGTTTACGGGCTCTGACCACAGGCCACGCCAAAATGCGACAGTGTCAGCCTGATCCGGTCCTGGGCCCGCTCCACATACCTCTGGTCGCTCCAATGATTTATAGAGCCTCTTCTGATCACTCTGGAAGAGACGATTCTGGTTGAACCGCCTTGACCTCTCGCTAAATCGTCGAATCCGCTTCCCCCAAGCAGCGATTTTTTGCTTCAGGTCATCTATGCGCTCCGTTAGTTTTTGCGTGATATCCGGCTGGAACAAATTGATATTTGTCCCAGCAAACGCCATCCTAACGGTGCGCATAATCCTCGGTCTATTATTACCCGACCTGAAGCTTGTCAGTCTGCCGATGAGGGCCCTTGCCTTTGCGATACGGTCCTCAATTCTTTTTCTCCAGGCTGGGATGGCGCTACTTTTTTGAGTAGCACGTCCAGCCACGGGAAGTTTGGCGCCAATAATACGGCATACTGCCAGTGCGGCGCCAAAAAGAATTGAATCCGTCTCGCAAAGGTCCCGGCTGGCTTCCAAATAGGTCACCAGCATTGGGTTAAGAGCCCGCACGACAGCCCGATTTCGCTTGCTAAGGGGTATGCGGGGAAGTCGCGGTCGATTTTCGAGAGGCATGCTGCGCGTTTCCAGCATCGACTCTTCCAATATGCTCCTCATTTTCTCTAGTTCGTGGGAGACTATTCCATCATCGTCTGAATTAGCCACAAATGGAATGTTGACGGCAGCATCAACATATGCAGTTTGTTGCGCATCTAGTGGCGCCGCATTCCCAGCAGTAGCATTTCCATTCGATGAAGGAATAGCCTCACGTCGTAGTCGCTCGAGTTCGGCGTCACCAAATATGTTGGAGCGCAGGATGTACCTAACTCGGTCTGCCAGGTTTTGCTCAGTGACGGATAGAGATGGCTCCAGCTCTGCAAAAAAGCGATGCATCCGAGCCCGATACGCCAAACATCCAGTTTCTTCCCCTTTTGCCCTAAAATACGCCCGCAGTGCGTTTTCATTCATTGATTTAGACCAACGCATGCGACGTGCTCCACCAGCGGCGGGTGCCGCTTGCTGAGTCCGAGAAGACCCAGCCGACACCAAGCCTTCTGGTGGGGATGATGGATGCGGGGGGCTGCTAGGTGGTCTTGCAACACCCCGCGCTCGGCTGGCGGCCCGCATGCTGTCGCGTCCAGCGCCAGCTCCAGACGCGCCCTGGCGACCTCCAGGCAGCGGCCCTTTGCGCACTATCTTTTTCTCCATCATCCATAATATGGGCGTCCATTAACGGGAGACGCCCAGGCCCGGCACCGTATCGTGGACGGCCATAAGCACAAACGGGCCTTTGCACCCTGAATTCTGCCGAGGCACGGCGCTCACACCTCTCGCAAGGCGCTGACTGACTGCGTTGACGTAGCAGTTTTGTCACTTAACTGTTACGTCAGCGGGCGATGGGGTCGTCAATTCCCTACGCCATTTTTTATTATTATTATTGTTTGGGGTATCTATATAGTTTTCTCATCTGGTTGGGTTCTATAAATATATAATTATAAATGAAAATGAAAAGATAAATATACATAAATATCAATAAAATAAAATAAATATAAAAGTACATAAATAAATAAAAGCCCAACCAGATGGAGGCCCTCGGCAGGGGAGACCAAACGGCCGAGGGTTAGGGGGAAAGGGAAAGAAACCGGCGGACGATGCGGGCGGTATCGAGGAGCACCGCCTTCTGCATTTGAGCCTGGAGCGGTCCGCCACGTAGTCCCAGCCGCCTCAGATGACCCGAGAGGCTGACTGGGATTAGCCCGTTCGCAGAGACGACTACAGGAATAATTTCGGTCGGCAGACCACCCCACATGTCGGTCACCTCGTGAGCCAGGTCCAGATATTTTGTTTGCTTGTCTGTTTCGGCTTTCACGAGGTTCTCGTCATACGGAATGGTAATGTCGACCAAAAATATCCTTGACTGTGCCCGGTTCATCAGCACAATATCAGGCTTATTCGCAAGAATAGTCCTGTCTGTGATGATGGCCCGGTCCCAGTAGAGCCTGGCGCGATCATTTTCGAGCACGGCTTCCGGCAAGTACTTGTAATACGGCAATTTCCGGTCCACGAGACCGTATTTCAGAGCGAGCTCCTGGTGTAGAATTCTGGCTACTAGGTTGTGCCTGTGCAAGTACTCAGAGTTAGAAAGCGCCGAACAACCGGAGATGACATGCCTAAGTGACTCACCGGGATGGCGACAAGCTCGACAGATGTCGACGGTGCCATCCTTTAGGATGTATCTCCGATAGTTGTTGGTCTTAATAACCTGATCCTGTATTGCACAGACAAAACCCTAATATTATTATTATTATTATTGTGGGGTATCTATATAGTTATCTCATCTGGGTGGGATCTATAAATATATAATTATAAATGAAAATGAAAAGATAAATATACATAAATATCAATAACATAAAATAAATATAAAAGTACATAAATAAGTAAAAGCCCAACCAGATGGAGGCCCTCGGCAGGGGAGACCAAACGGCCGAGGGTTAGGGGGAAAGGGAAAGAAACCGGCGGACGATGCGGGCGGTATCGAGGAGCACCGCCTTCTGCATTTGAACCTGGAGCGGTCCGCCACGTAGTCCCAGCCGCCTCAGATGACCCGAGAGGCTGACTGGGATTAGCCCGTTTGCAGAGACGACTACAGGAATAATTTCGGTCGGCAGACCACCCCACATGTCGGTCACCTCGTGAGCCAGGTCCAGATATTTTGTTTGCTTGTCTGTTTCGGCTTTCACGAGGTTCTCGTCATACGGAATGGTAATGTCGACCAAAAATATCCTTGACTGTGCCCGGTCCATCAGCACAATATCAGGCTTATTCGCAAGAATAGTCCTGTCTGTGATGATGGCCCGGTCCCAATAGAGCCTGGCGCGATCATTTTCGAGCACGGCTTCCGGCAAGTACTTGTAGTACGGCAATTTCCGATCCACGAGACCGTATTTCAGAGCGAGCTCCTGGTGTAGAATTCTGGCTACTAGGTTGTGCCTGTGCAAGTACTCAGAGTTAGAAAGCGCCGAACAACCGGAGATAACATGCCTGAGTGACTCACCGGGATGGCGACAAGCTCGACAGATGTCGACGGTGCCATCCTTTAGGATGTATCTCCGATAGTTGTTGGTCTTAATAACCTGATCCTGTATTGCACAGACAAAACCCTCGGTTTCCCCGAAGAGATCACCAAAGCGTAGCCAGTGGAGGGACGCTACTGTGTCTACGAAAGGCTCATGTAGAGCCTTGTAGAACCTCCCGTGGAGCTCCTTCTCCTTCCATACGGTCTCTCGGTCGGAAATGCTCTGCACTGCCGGGTCTTGCCATTGCTCGTTGGCTAAGGATAGAGGGGTAAGTCCTTTATCACAAGAAATGACGTCCATATAGAATGGATTATCCGATCTCGCCAGGAAGTAATCACGGAGGCTGCACACTTCGCGATTATGCATGGTGAGCGCGCTCAAGAAGCCACGACCACCATGCTTCCGCGACAAGTAATTCATTACCGACGATCTCGGATGATGCATCCTATGGGAAGTCATGGTAGTGCGGACTTTTCTATCCAGGGCGTTAAGTCTGAGTCCACCTGAGTATGCCAAAGGTATACATGAGGACAGGCATGACCCAGCCGTTATATGCGTGTGCCTTATTCACACCGCACAAAAAGGCTGTTAAGCACTTTGGTCAAGCGTGCATAAAACACGTCGCAAACTGACTGTTTCATACCAGTCTCATCGATACCGATGTTTTGTGACATACCCAGGTATCGGTATGTTTCAGCCTCGGAAAGGGTCCTTAAGTTGACGGGCATAGATAAGTCTACGCCCTCAGAGTTAGCAACCCTTCCCCTTTCAACATGGAGGACCGCACACTTATCCGTCCCAAGCTCCATTCCAATGGAATTGCTAAATTCACAAGTGATGTTTAGCAATTCCATAAGATGGGAGCGACTGGAGGCGAATAACTTGAGGTCATCCATATAGAAAAGGTGGGTCACTTTTGTCCCTCCTTTCCGTAGCTGAAATCCCCTCCCGGAGCCCTCCAGTAAGGTACTGAGAGGGTTCAGAGAGAGGCAGAACCAGTTTGGACTCAGACAATCGCCCTGGAAGATACCCCTTCTTATCCTTATGTGGTTCTCCGCAGCCATCATCCGCTCGCCCAGATGACAAAGGATCGTACTCCACTGCCCCATACACTGCTCGAGGAAGTCTCTAAATGTACAGTCTATCTTGTACAGCTCGAGGACTCTCTTTAGCCATGTATGGGGCACCGAGTCGAATGCCTTTCTGTAGTCTATCCAGGCGGCGGAGAAGTTCCGACGGTTGCGTTTCACCACTTTGCCAATGACCGCGTCAATGAGGAGTGGTTCCTTGGTTCCACGACCACCGCCCCGACATCCATTTTGAGCGCGCGACATCACCTGATTTGAGTCCAGGTGACAAGTGATTCTCGCGCTCAAAATGGATGTTAGTGTCTTGTATATGGTCGGTAGACACGTGATGGGGCGGTATTTGCTTGGGTCTGTGGTACCCTGGTCTTTAGGAACCAAATGAGTGATCCCAGTAGTGAAGAGGCTTGGGAGCGACTTCTGGTTGAGAGCCTCTTGAAACTGTCGGGCAAGCACAGAGTGACACACCATGAACCCCTTCAGCCAGTAGTGATGCAGCCCGTCAAGCCCCGGACTTTTCCAGTTCGGGGCCCTACGGACCGCCTCAGCTACGTCATCCGGTGTTATGATGACGGGGTCCATGGGCGTAATACCCGCACACTGACTCGCCACAACTTCCGTCCAAGGGCCCTCGCTGTGGTTTACGGGCTCTGACCACAGGCCGCGCCAGAATGCTACAGTGTCGGCCTGATTCGGTGCTGGACCCGTTCCACTTACCATTGGTCGCTCCAATGATTCATAGAGCCTCTTCTGATCACTCTGGAAGAGACGATTCTGGTTGAACCGTGTCGACCTCTCGGTATATCGCCGAATCCGCTTTCCCCAAGCAGCGATTCTCTGCTTCAGATCATCTATGCGCTCCGTCAGTTTTTGCGTTATATCCGGCTGGGACAAACTGACATTTGTCCCAGCAAACGCCATCCTGACGGTGCGCACAATTCTTGGCCTGTTGTTGCCTGATCTGAAGCATATCAGTCTGCCGATGAGAGCTCTAGCCTTTGCGATACGTTCCTCAATTCTTCTTCTCCATGCTGGGATAGCGCTACTATGGCCAGTAGCGCGTCCAGCCGTGGAAACCTTGGCGCCTATGATACGGCAGACTGCCAGCGCGGCGCCAAAAAGAATTGAGTCCGTCTCGCAAAGGTCCCGGCTGGCTTCCAAATAGGTCACCAGCATTGGGTTCAGAGCCCTCACGACAGCCCGATTCCGCTTGCTTAGGGCTATGCGGGGGAAGTCGCGGTCGATTTTCGAGAGGCGTACTGCGCGTTTCCACAATCGCCTCTTCCAATGTACTCCTCATATGCTCTAATTCCAGTTCCTGGGCGACTGTTCCATCATCGTTTGAATCAACCACAACTGGGGTATTCACGGCGGCATCCACGTTTGCGGGTTGCTCTACCATTTGTGGCGCCGCATCCTCAGCCGTAGCATTCTCATCCGACGAGGGAACAGCCTCACGTCGTAGCCGTTCGAGTTCGGCGACATCAAATATATTTGAGCGCAAGATATACCGAACTCGGTCTGCCAGGTTTTGCTCTGTGACGGTTAAAGATGGCTCCAGCTCAGCAAAAATACGATGCATCCTAGCCCGATACGCCAAACATCCAGTTTCTCCCCCTTTTGCCCTAAAGTACGCCCGCAGTGCGTTGCTGTTCATCTGGGTTGTCCAACGCATGCGGCGTGCTCCACCAGAGGCGGGTGCCGCTTGCTGGGCCCGCGAAGACCCAGCCGACACCAAGCCTTCTGGTGGGGATGATGGATGCGAGGGGCTGCTGGGTGGTCGTGCAGCACCCCGCGCTCGGCTGGCGGTTCGCATGCTGCCGCGTCCAGCGCCAGCTCCAGACGCGCCCTGGCGACCTCCAGGCAGCGGCCCTTTGCGCGCTTCTTCCGTATATCCATCATCCATTATTGGTGGGCGTCCTTTAGCGGGAGACGCCCAGGCCCGGCGCCGTTTCATGGTGAAGCCATGTGCACAAGCGGGCCTTTGCACCTTCAATTTTTGCCGAGGCACGGCGCTAACACCTCTTGGCAAGGCGCTGACTGACTGCGTTGACGTAGCGGTTTTGTCACTTAACCGTTACGTCAGCGGGCGATGGGGTCGTCACTTCCCTTATTATTATTATGTGTGGGGTATCTATATAGTTTTCTCATCTGGTTGGGATGTATAAATATATTATTATAAACGAAAATGAAAAGACAAATATACATAAATATCAATAAAATAAAATAAATACGAAAGTACATAAATAAATAAAAGCCCAACCAGATGGAAGCCCTCGGCAGGGGAGACCAAACGGCCGAGGGTTAGGGGGAAAGGGAAAGAAACCGGCGGACGATGCGGGCGGTATCGAGGAGCACCGCCTTCTGCATTTGAGCCTGGAGCGGTCCGCCACGTAGTCCCAGCCGCCTCAGATGACCCGAGAGGCTGACTGGGATTAGCCCGTTTGCAGAGACGACTACAGGAATAATTTCGGTCGGCAGACCACCCCACATGTCGGTCACCTCGTGAGCCAGGTCCAGATATTTTGTTCGCTTATCTGTTTCGGCTTTCACGAGGTTCTCGTCACACGGAATGGTAATGTCGACCAAAAATATCCTTGACTGTGCCCGGTCCATCAGCACAATATCAGGCTTATTCGCAAGAATAGTCCTGTCTGTGATGATGGCCCGGTCCCAATAGAGCCTGGCTCGATCATTTTCGAGCACGGCTTCCGGCAAGTACTTGTAGTACGGCAATTTCCGGTCCACGAAACCGTATTTCAGAGCGAGCTCCTGGTGTAGAATTCTGGCTACTAGGTTGTGCCTGTGCAAGTACTCAGAGTTAGAAAGCGCCGAACAACCGGAGATGACATGCCTAAGTGACTCACCGGGATGGCGACAAGCTCGACAGATGTCGATGGTGCCATCCTTTAGGATGTATCTCCGATAGTTGTTGGTCTTAATAACCTGATCCTGTATTGCACAGACAAAACCCTCGGTTTCCCCCGAAGAGATCACCAAAGCGTAGCCAGTGGAGAGAGGTTACTGTGTCTACGAAAGGCCCATGTAGAGACTTGTAGAACCTCCCGTGGAGCTCCTTCTCCTTCCATACGGTCTCCCGGTCGGAAATTGTCTGCACTGCCGGGTCTTGCCATTGCTCGTTGGCTAGGGATAGAGGGGTAAGTCCTTTATCACAAGAAATGACGTCCTTATAGAATGGATCATCCGATCTCGCCAGGAAGTAATTACGGAGGCTGCACACTTCGCGATTATGCATGGTGAGCGCGCTCAAGAAGCCACGCCCACCATGCTTTCGCGGCAAGTACAGCCTCATTACCGACGATCTCGTATGATGCATCCTGTGGGACGTCATGGTAGTGCGGACTTTTCTATCCAGGGCGTTAAGTTCAGTCTGAGTCCACCTGAGTATGCCAAAGGTATACATGAGGACAGGCATGACCCAGCCGTTATATGCTTGTGTCTTATTCACACCGGACAAAAGGCTGTTAAGCACTTTGGTCAAGCGTGCATAAAACACGTCGCAAACTGACTGTTTCATACCAGCCTCATCGATACCAATGTTCTGTGACATACCCAGGTATCGGTATGTTTCAGCCTCGGAAAGGGTCCTTAAGTTGACGGGCGTAGATAAGTCTATGCCCTCAGAGTTAGCAACCCTTCCCTCTCAACATGGAGGACCGCACACTTATCCGTCCCCAGCTCCATTCCAATGGAATTGCTAAATTCACAAGTGATGTTTAGCAGTTCCATAAGATGGGAGCGACTGGAGGCGAATAACTTGAGGTCATCCATATAGAAAAGGTGGGTCACTTTTGTCCCTCCTTTCCGTAGCTGAAATCCCCTCCCGGAGCCCTCCAGTAAGGTACTGAGAGGGTTCAGAGAGAGGCAGAACCATTTTGGACTCAGACAATCGCCCTGGAAGATACCCCTTCTTATCCTTATGTGGTTCTCCGCAGCCATCATCCGCTCGCCCAGATGACAAAGGATCGTACTCCACTGCCCCATACACTGCTCGAGGAAGTCTCTAACTGTACAGTCTATCTTGTACAGTTCGAGGACTCTCTTTAGCCATGTATGGGGCACCGAGTCGAATGCCTTTCTGTAGTCTATCCAGGCGGCGGAGAAGTTCCGACGGTTGCGTTTCACCACTTTGCCAATGACCGCGTCAATGAGGAGTGGTTCCTTGGTTCCACGACCGCCGCCCCGACATCCATTTTGAGCGCGCGACATCACCTGATTTGAGTCCAGGTGACGAGTGATTCTCGCGCTCAAAATGGATGTTAGTGTCTTATATATGGTCGGTAGACATGTGATGGGGCGGTATTTGCTCGGGTCTCTGGTACTCTGGCCTTTAGGAACCAAATGGGTGATCCCAGTAGTGAAGAGGCTCGGGAGCGACTTCTGGTTGAGAACCTCTTGAAACTGTCGGGCGAGCACAGTGTGACACACCACGAACCCCTTCAGCCAGTAGTGATGCAGCCCGTCGAGTCCTGGACTTTTCCAGTTCGGGGCCCTACGGACCGCCTCAGCTACGTCATCCGGCGTTATAGTGACGGGGTCCATGGGCGTAATACCCGCACACTGACTCGCCACAACTTCCGTCCAAGGGCCCTCGTTGTGGTTTACGGGCTCTGACCACAGGCTGCGCCAGAACGCGACCGTGTCGGCCTGATTCGGTACTGGGCCCGTTCCACTTACCATTGGTCGCTCCAATGATTTATAGAGCCTCTTCTGATCACTCTGGAAGAGACGATTCTGGTTGAACCGTGTCGACCTCTCGGTATATCGCCGAATTCGCTTTCCCCAAGCAGCGATTCTCTGCTTCAGGTCGTCTATGCGCTCCGTCAGTTTTTGCATTATGTCCGGCTGGGACAAACTAACATTTGTCCCAGCAAACGCCATCCTGACGGTGCGCACAATCCTTGGCCTGGTATTGCCTGACCTGAAGCATATCAGTCTGCCGATGAGGGCCCTAGTCTTTGCGATACGTTCTTCAATTCTTGTTCTCCAGGCTGGGATAGCACTACTTTGTCCAGTAGTGCGTCCAGCCGTGGAAAGTTTGGCGCCTATAATACGGCAGACTGCCAGTGCGGCGCCAAAGAGAATTGAGTCCGTCTCGCAAAGGTCCCGGCTGGCTTCCAAATAGGTCACCAGCATTGGGTTCAGAGCCCTCACGACAGCCCGATTCCGCTTGCTTAGGGCTATGCGGGGGAAGTCGCGGTCGATTTTCGAGAGGCGTACTGCGCGTTTCCATAATCGCCTCTTCCAATGTACTCCTCATTTGCTCTATTTCTAGTTCCTGGGTGAATGTTCCTTCATCATTTGAATCAGCAACCACTGGGGTATTCTCGGCGGCATCCACGTGTGCGGGTTGTTCTGCAACTTGTGGCACCGCACCCTCAGTCGTAGCGTTTTCATTTGATGAGGGAACAGCCTCACGTCCTAGCCGTTCGAGTTCGGCGCCATCAAATATATTTGAGCGTAAGATATACCGAACTCGGTCTGCCAGGTTTTGCTCGGTGACAGTAATAGATGGCTCCAGCTCAGTAAAAAGACGATGCATCCTAGCCCGATACGCGAAACCTCCAATTTCTCCCCCTTTCGCCCTAAAATACGCCCGCAATGCGTTTGAATTCATATTGATGGTCCATCGCATGCGGCGTACTCCACCAGTGGCGGGTGCCGATTGCTGGGCCTGCGAAGACCCTGCCGACACCAAGCAAGCTGGTGGGGATGATGGATGCGAGGGGCTGCTGGGTGGTCGTGCAGCACCTCGCGCTCGGCTGGCGGTTCGCATGCTGTCGCGTCCAGCGCCAGCTCCAGACGCGCCCTGACGACCTCCAGGCAGCGGCCTTTTGCGCAATCTTCTATGTTCCATCATCCATACAGGGCGTCATTTAGCGGGAGACGCCCAGACCCGGCGCCGTTTCATGGTGAGGCCATATGCACAAGCGGGCCCTTGCACCATCAATTTTTGCCGAGGCACGGCGCTCACACCTCTTGGCAAGGTGCTGACTGACTGCGCGGACGTAGCGGTTTTGTCACATAACTGTCACGTCAACGGGCGATGGGGTCGTCACTTCCCTACGCCTAACTTATTATTATTATTATTATTATTATTATTAATAATTAATAATCTTGTTGTGCTTTGATAAAGTGGGTTAGTGTTGATTGCCTTTTTTATTATTATTATTCATCATCATCATCATCATTACAGCCCTTCACAAGTCCACTACTGAACATAGCCCTCTCCCAGGGTATGCTACAAAGCACGGTCCTGGGCCACCTGCACCCATCGACTTCCTGCATGTTTTACCAAGTCGGCACTACATCTAGTGGAGGGTCGCCCCCACACTACGCCTACCGGTACGAGGCTGCCACTCGAGCACCTTTTTCCCCCATCCTTTGTCGGTTCTTCGAGCTATATGGCCAGCCCATTCCCACTTCAGCTTACTAATCTGCTGGGCTATCTCGGTCACTCTGGTTCTACTGCGAATATACTCATTTCTAAGTATATCACGCAGATAAACCCCGAGCATAGCCCTCTTCATAACTCGCTGAGCGACTTTGAGCGTCCTCATACGGCAAGCAGTTTAGGACCACGTCTTAGTTCCATAGGTCATCACTGGCAACACGCACTGGTTGTACAGTCTCGTTTTCAGGTTTTGAGGTATAGCTGACGAGAAGATGTGTCGTAATTTCCCGAACGCTGCCCAGCCGAGTTGAATCCGTCGATTGACCTCTCGGTCGAAGTTGGACTTACCTAGTCGGACTATTTGTCCCAGGTAAATGTACTCGTCAAGAACTTCGAGCTTAGCGCTCCCAACAACTACCGGCATAGGTATGACATGGACATTAAACATGATCTTTTTTGTCCATGTTCATCTTAAGACCTACTCGTTGGGAGACACTATTGAGGTCATTGAGCATAGTGCTTATGTCCTCCAGCGATTCTACCATAAAGACTATATCGTCGGCAAATCGAAGGTATCACTCACCTTTACTCGCTGTACTCGCTATTAATGTTAATTAATGTTAGATAAATAGTACTAAAATGTAAATTGATAGCATGTTGTGATTACCTTTAAGTGATTGTACATTTAGAAAGAACGAAACCGTAAATTTTAATTAACGGTGTAATAATGTATCAATCGTCGGTAATTCTAATAAAGAGAAAAAAAAATACCGAATCCTTTCCAGTCCAGTAGCTTTAAAACGTCTTCCAACGCAGCGGTGAAGAGTTTCGGGGATATAATGTCACACTGTCTTACACCTCTCTGCAGTTGGATAGATTTCGTACTCTGATTCTGTACTCGGATAACCATCGTAGCCATACTGTCCAAACACTTCAGCACTTCGATATACCGACAGTCTACTTGGCACCGCTGTAATTCCATCCTCGCCAGGGTACACTCTGTATTGCTTCACTCTCATAGTTCCATGGGGCGACAAGCCGACACGACCGGAGAGAGATCAAGCGTATGACCAACGACTTTACGTGCTTTCCTAAGCACGCATGAAACACCGCCATCCTCCGATAATTTCTTATCAGGAAAACCCAATATCTGATTGCGGTCCGACTTAGGATTTAATCGTGTTTACGTCCACTAGACCTACGAAGCAATCAGTTCAGGCAGTTTCTTACAAATAATAAATAAATAAATAAAAAGGAGGCGGACAAAGAGCGCTGCGGCAGCGTCCCGCCTGCCGTGGTCCAGCGTGCGCTGTGTCGCCGCGATCTGCTGTCCATACTGTCCGCACGAGAGCTGGAGCTGATCTGCAAGTGCTTCGGATACAAACGCGGCTGTGGAGACGAGGTAAGCTCTTATAGATGTTAAAAAATAATTACCTAAGATCCGCGCAATAAAATATAGCGTTTAGCCACCGCAGAGTCTACCTGAGAATGCCTCGTGTAGAGACGAAATACGTGTCGTATTATTGACAGTGGTGTGTCTTTCGCAGTGTAGTAGCGTTGGGAGTAGTTGTGTTGGGATTAGTGGTGACGGGGATAGTTAGATATTTGAGGGAGGGCGGGAAGTGATCTTCAAACTAGGTAAGACACATCATTATATTATATTGCGCGGATCTTAGCTAATTCATTTTATTTACATTAACACTTCATTATATTAATGAGGTAAGCTCTCTTTCAACGCGAACATGTTTTAAAATTTACTTCCATAGCAATTCAAAAAACTGACGATAACGAAATCAGGGGATACAGTTTGATGTTGCCGCCACATATTTATCATCTACATTCAAACTTTGATTACACCACTCGATAGCTAAATGATCAAAGAATTCGTTACGCTCAGTGATAATTGCGACGCGACGCGAGTTGAGAGCGTCACAATTTTGAAGTTGTATACTGTGGCCCATAGCTCGCACCATTATTTTTACTTAGAGAAACACCTACGTATCCTCGTCTCGCTGGGGCAATAACGGGTTTTGTCGGATTCGTACCGAAATATAACGATTATTAAGCCTCCGCGACTTGGCGGGAATCCGTCCGTGGGGAGTGGGGGCAATGCCCTTACCTATATCCTTAAGAATCAAAATGCAAATGCGTCGTCACCCCTGAGGATTAAGATGGAAAGCCTAGTTTCCAGTAAAAATGGCCTCTGGTTTTTCTAGCCTTACGATAGATTCCACACAGTACAATTAATTGTGGAAACTAATTATTGTATGGTCTATAATTAATTGTTCCTGGTCTGGATGTTTGTTCTTGTGCATTCATTTCATTCATCACAGCCTTTCAAATGTCCATTACTGGACACAGACCTCCCCCAAAATTGCCTCATGTTCACCATAGTTGCAACACTTGTTTAGCGGGTTCACAGCCGCAGTTTTCTTATTTAGTAATTACAGGAAGCTGCTGCGGCCCATGTATTGTTAAGGTTACGCTTTTTAAAGCATACTGCCAGAGCGTATACACGAGGAGCCTGTGGGTCAAATACACCAATAGATCGCTTGAAGCCCTGCGCATCCAATATAATAATATATTCAGTATGCTGTAGGGACTGCCTCGTTATTGTAGTGCATCAGGGATGTTTGCGACATACCAAACAGATAGGTTTAATGCCATTATACGCAAAAAAATCGCATCCCTTATTAGCAGAGTACGAGCCAGCCACAACAGCATTCTGAAGACCGTAGCGAACAGGTATACATCGCCGCTGTGGAAGTATCTCGTGCAAACACTGATCACTGAGCCTTATCCACCCCATGGTGGTCTGTCTCGGCACAGGATACTTTTATCACTAGACTTAAGCAAAACTTTTTTTACTAACCCTTTTTGTAATTTATTATTATTATTATTGTTTGTACTACTAACCCACATATGGATTTTAAGTTATCTGAAATAAACAATTTTTATTTATTGTTTCACTTTCCCTCTATCGCCTCTTACGACACTCACGCGATGATGATAGTGCGCTCCCTTACGTATAACACAGCATCCGGATCTTTCTAGAAATTATATATAGCCTCGACAGCTTATTGATTTTAACATATTATGGAGTGTCGTCAAAGAGTATGTTAGGGCTAAATCTGAGAGACACGGTGAGAAATTGTATAGTAAGAGAAGAGTGTAGTCTGCAAGATGATGTCGTGACCAGGATTAATAAGGGAATGCTTCGGTGGTTCGGTCAAGAAGGTTCTGATGTAGAATGAATGAATTAGGAAAGAGTGACAAAGTAAATTTATGTAGCAGAAGTGAACGGCAGAATCGGAAAGGGACGTCCTAGGAGAAATTTTATCGACCAAATTAGTGATATATTGAAAATGGACCAAATTAGGAGTACCCTTAACCGACGAGCATGTATGTGTAGGTATGTGAATCTGGAGGAGGCGAAAGAGGTGTGTCAGGATCGAGCCTAATGGAAGTCTGTAGTCTCTGCCTACCCCTCTGGGTGACAGGCTTGAGTGTTTTTTATGTTTATGTATGTACATAGGGAATAATTCTCAGTTTCATACTTCTTTAATCTGTTGGCAATTGGTTGGCCACATCAACAAACATTGTATTTCGCTGTCGAGAGGAAATTTCAGGGTACGTTTGGCTTATTACAATTTATCGATTTTTAGTATTTCCTTTTTCAACACCATCGGGACAACAAGATATAATTATTCCATACTACACCGCGTGCTAAAGAAATTGGCGAGTACGTACATAAATTTTAATTTCTTTATTTATTTTATTTAAAACACAAACTTTTACACGATTTCATTGATTCCCTGGCCTGCGGTCTAGAATAACTGTGTTCCATGAAACAGTGCCTCCCCTTAATGTAAACGTAGTCAAAAAGTCTACTAGTTAAGAACTGGAGACGATTTTTACTGGATACGAGGTATTTTATCTTAGTCCTCAGGGACGACAACGCATCTTCATTTTAATTAAGAATCAAAATCGAGGTTAGATGTTGATGTCTATGGGCCTTAGCATCCACTAAACATCAGGCGGACTGTGTGCTCGTTTGTCATCCTTAGTCTACTTATAAAATTAATAAAAATAACTGAAAGAAGTCCAATATTTGTTTTCCCTCAGGTGAACTACCGCGCCCTGTGCTCGGCGCTTGACATAGTACATGCAACATCACATGCGCAGCCTTGCTGAACCTGAACGCTGAGCCCGATGACACATGTACCAATAAAGCTGCTAAAATAAAAATAAATCTATTTTTATTTCTGATTTATAATGAACTAAGGAAGGACACTGATTAAAATCTTGAACATGACGTGCCGATCCAAACATGTTTGAGCGACAATCTACTCAAAGCGGTTGATAGCAAATGGATGCGTGAAACCACAAATCTACACCAGCAACGCTTCTTCTCGTGGAATGCTACGGCCACTGTATTTTTTATATTTATACTGAATTGATGAAATTGGTGGCAGAAATAGGTCAGCTTTTAGCAAATCACAAAAAAAAAGTAAGTGGATGCTGTGACCCATAGACAGCTGCATTTATCCCCAATTAAGAATCAAAATGCAAATGCGCTATCACCCTTGAGAACTAAGATGGAATGCCTCGTTTCTAGTAAAAAGTGTCACCGGTTCTCCACACTCACCATACGAAACACAGCAGCGTTAAGCTGCTATTTTACGCTTATATTCTGTGGGAGCGTGGTCCTACCTCGGTCGAGCCGACCCATTCGTGCCACAACCATAATACAGTTGCAGCGTGGCTCACGTGTGAAGAAATATTGAGATCCTATCCAAGCGAAACCGGGCAGGTAGCTAGTATTGAATAAAATTTATACTGTTTAATTGCAGTTTACTTTAGCGTGTAGGGTGCTGTAAGAATATCCACTATCCCATAAAAAGCCGTAAAAGGCGACAGAAGGACACTGAAACCAAATTCTAGTTGAAGTCTTGGTGGATTCACGGTAAGGGTTTGGTAATCAATAAATAAATAAATAAATCGATAAACGAAATAAATATACCTACTATTTTACTTTTCATGCATTTTAATCAAATCGACGGCCATGTTTACAAATACAAGCAAATGTAAAGTCACAAATATTATCATGGGGCCTCTAGAGCAGGAATGGGACGATCACACCCAGCATCTTCTGAATAATCGCACACATGTTTGGATGGGTTGAACTGGAGACCGTCCGGGCACTCCATGCAGACTGGCAGATCACCCACACAATAGTAGTACAAGTGGCAGTCGTCGGGATGCGGTATCAAATACTGGTCGGCGGTAGTATTAGCGCAGTTTGGTTTCGTCACAGAATTTCTGATACATTTCGTGTCCTTATTACGTTGCTCGAGGAAGATGCTGTAAAAGGAAATGATGACAATTTAGTTTTTTTTAACTTATGTTAAGCCAGTGCTTGAACAAAACCCCACCTGGTGGTAAGTGGTGATGCAGCCTTAGATGGTAAATCGCACTGTGTTAACGTAACAAACCCCTATTCACTCGTGCCTTGAAGACGCCCAGATTGTATTCGGACGGACAGACGCTGACAAATTATTCCACTCCTTTTTTATTTTATTCCTCTTAATACAAAGCAAACCTTTTGGTTCTAATTCGTGAAATGTCTGCCTGGTTATCCGATTATGAAAAGAAAAGGGAGGAAGTAACTTTTACATGGTAGAGCTTTTATATGCTGTAGCTGTATTATATTTGTAGCACGAATGGGTCGGCTCGACCAGGGTAGGACCACGCACTCACAGAAAACCTGCGTAAAATAACAGCCTTATGCTGCTGTGTTCCGTAGGGTGAGTGTAGAGAACCGGAGGTCCTTTTTACTGGAATCGAGGCATTCCATCTTAGTCTTCAAGGAAGGCAAAGCATTTGCATTTTGAATCTTAATTGAGGATAAATGTGGATATCTATGGGTCACGTCATCCACTTACCATAAGGTGGACTGTGTGCTCGTTTGTCACCCAATTCTATAAAAAAAAATGTAATTCCTGCGCACACTCTGAAAAGCATCTTATAGAATACCGTGAGGCTGACTACTCTGGCGCCTGTGCTCGAGGCTAACAAGGTTGGTTAAAGTGACCAATGAGCCCCTTAGCACCTCCCCCAACTGAGTCCAACGTGGCTAGGTGCCATTTTGCAACACCAGTTCATATATGACAGCAGTACTCCTTTCACGGCAGGACTTGCGCTTTATATAAGGTAAGAAGTTGCCCTGGCGTGAAGTACCACCGCACCCTTTTAAGAACATCTAGTTTCTTTGCAGCTGTTTTGGTCCTCGATTACAGTGATACTTAGACACCACACGCCAAGACATTACTATAATTGGTGTAGAAAATCATTCATCATCCAATTTCGCATCGAGGGTATCGTAAGAGGCGACTATACAGGTACTATTTTTTTTTCTTCGGAGACTATCAAAGTTTTACATTTAAGTTCAAATATTTAAATAAAGATAAACCGTTTAGCAGTTTTTTAAAAATACGAGTAAATAAGGGGATTATTATTCAAAGAGTATTCAAATTTTTTAATTAAGTTCAAATATACTTCTCATCAAAAAAATCGAAACACCTTCGTTTTAATTTGTTAAAAAATTGAAACACCTAATTTAATACAAAAGAGTTTTCATTCCATGAAAAAAAACAACGTTATTGTATAGTTGGCAATCTGGCCTTTACAATGGTAAGCCGAAATTCAAAATTCGAAAAGATTCATTTGTTTATCCTCTAAATGAAATGAATCACTATTTTGAGACAAATGTGCGTCTACAGTTGGAGACCATTTCACGTTTAAAAACTGAAAAATTGCGTTTTGTTTTTAATTTGTTTACTGTGACTTTAAGACGTCTGAAAAAAGTTTTATTTCCTAAAACATATGGATACTTCGCCCACAGAAGCCGCCCAAGTGGTGGCATTGCTGGATTCTGGACTTAGTCAGCGTGTTGTGGCTCGAACATTGCATCTAAGCCTGTCATCTGTTCATAGAGTCTACAACCGTTATCGAGAGACTGGTATGTTCACGCGCCGTTCTGGATCTGGCAGGAATCGGGTCACTTCTGAGAGGGATGATCGATGTATTGTATCAATTTCTTTGCGAAACCGGCGCCTTAAGGCTCTACCTCCAGCGAACGACCTTGAGCATTTGGTCTGTCGAAGCTCGCTACAATATATCGCGTAAGAAATCGCCAAAAGACGCCACCTACTGCTACGAACGTAGTATTATTTTTTCAATGTCAATGAACTCTTCTATGGAAATAGACACGGCGTACAATGATAAATGTATTTTAATTTTCTTTATTCGGTATATTAGTTGCATTATATTAGAATTATGTATTCTAATATATTATCTAATTAATAAAAATTACTATTTTGATTATTTTTAACTATATACTATACTGCTAATATTGAATTAGCTTTTTATAGTGTAAATTATAATATTTGTCGAAATATTAATTATGGATTCGAACTTTACATGCTAATGGTGCTTCATTTTTGTTATTTTCATTTACTTACATATTGAAAATATACTTGAATAGTAGTTATTATTATTTTATTTAGCTACTGAATTTTAGGATATGTTTTACCTTGAGGTCAAATATAATTTTGAGGAGCAATAGTTATTACCTACTAATCTTTTATCTGCTATTCCTTATTTAGGAGCAATATTAGTAAATTGAGTTTGAGGGAGATTTACTGTTTATAATGCTACATTTATTATTTTAATATTTACCTACTGGGTAGGTAATTATTAAAATAATAAATAAAATATAGCATTAGTAACTAAATAGATATTTTTTTTAAATTTTTAAAATTAAAATTTTCGTGTTTTTAAAAATTACTAAAAAAAGGGTTTGAAATAATAAATTTTCTCACAAAAAGAAGGGAACTTGAAAAAAAAGGAAAAAAAAAAGCGGGACCAAAGCCAAGACGCGAACCACGGAACTCCGATATCACGCCCGACCGACATACCACCTGAGCTATAACGACCGTTAATGATTAGTCGAAATTTACCTTCTTATATTGTAGCAGTTTTTTTATTGCCTGAAAACATGGACAAAAGGACATTTTCTAAAAATAAATCCAAGCGTTCGTCGCTAAAATCGTTGGAGCCGTATAATTTTCTCATCTGGTTCGGTTATATAAATATTTAAATATATAAAAATTATAAATTAAAATGAAAAGATAAATATACATTAATATCAATAAAATAAAATAAATACAAAATAATATTATATTATTATTGTTATTATTATTATTATAAGTTGTGGTTCGGTGAAGCTGCAACCTAATGGACCATGATATGAAAAGTGGTTGTTGACGTCAATTATTATTATTCTTATTATTTTTTCATTACTACCTTTTTCAACCTCACAAGATATTTGTAACTGCAAAAAAAACTACGTATAAGTAAGTAAATCAGTAATATAGTGTTATGTATGATTCAGACTAAATAAAGGTTCCTAAAAATAGACGTAGATAAAGAAATTGCATAAAAAATTACTCAAATAAAAATGCAATAAACTTGTTAATTTTATAGGTATGTAAAATATAAAGGTTATATTATGTTCTAACTACGTTCACGCTTGCGCATATAAAACCGCGGAATTTCACTAGTTTTATTATCAAAATAATAATTGTCAACCCTACCCTAAGTTTGCCTTGATTTTACCAACTCAAACTCGTTTTAGGAGATCAAAACATAGAGAGAAAGATAGGAGACTATTTTTTATTTAATATGGTTGGGTCTTTATTTATTTGTATATTTTTTGTATTTATTTTATTTTATTGATATTTATGTATATTTATCTTTTCATTTTAATTTATATTTATAAAAACCAACCAGATGAGAAAACTATACAGATACCCCAACAATAATTAATATTCCACAAATATCACACAACGCCATCTAGTCCCAAGCTAAGCAGAGCTTGTGTTATGGGTACTAGACAACTGATAAACATACTTATATATTTCTAAATACATAAATATTATAGATAAATCATCACACAAACATTTGTCCTGGGTGGGAATCGAACCCACGACCTGCGACATAGCAGTCAGGGTCACTAACCACTAGACCAACAGGCCTGACGATAAATAAAATAAAGTCTCTAGCTCGAGAGGAGAGGAGCCGTGGTAGCTCAGATGGTTAGCGCTTGCTAAAATTTTCACAGTGTGCGAGTAAACCGGGTTCGATCCCCGCCGGCACCAATAATATTGTAATTGCAATTTTAAGTGTTGATTTACCACGTGCTCAGTGGTGAAGGAAAACATTGTGAGGAAACCTGCATGTCTGAGAAATAAGAAAAATAATATTTCGAAGACATGCAAAGTTCGCCAACACGCAGTGGGGCAGCGCGGTGGATAATTCCTTTCCTAGGACCCTTTCAGAAAATAGAATAGAAATAAAAAAATAATAAATCCAAACTTCATTTAAAACCAAACATATAAATTGTAAAATAGCTGCAGGTATCTATAACCAAGCAAAAGATATTCCTTTACTCCAACTTGTCCATGTTTCCCAAAACAATTTTTAATTAAGCTTTATATTATAATGCGGATTTTTTATATTTAAAATTTTAATAATAAAGCATTTCGTACGTCTCAGCCGAGGCGCAAATATTTTTCGGCCGCAAATTTATAAGACCGATTTGTTATTCAAACATAAACATGGTTTTTTAATTAAATCTACCAATCATAAAACGACACGCATTTTTATTGAACACTTCCTATTCAGTTCACAAAGTACCTATTACATTTGTTTATATAAAAACAGTATATTTAAATACAATCATAAAACTAAATGGAAACACAAAGTAGGAAAATGCATTGAGTTATAAAACACATAAATCAATGGGCAAATGTAAAAATACTGGAGGCAGCAGCCCTATCGCATGTTTACGTACCGCACGGCTGTAATATTTATTTCTAAGATACGGCCGAGTTACAATATACCGTGACGTAAGCGCATCGGTTGGTAGGTACTCAAATAATATTATGTTTGCGGCGAAATACGAAACGCGGCGACCAGCGACGCGGCCACCTCCTACTAACGCATACAGCGTAATGCCGCCCGCACTCTGCGCACGCCCCTTTATCATAGAAGTCACACAATTTTCGGAATTATTTCAATTAAAAGAGAAAAAACGAACTTAAAAATTTAAATAAAACGTGGAGAATATAGATTTTTTCATTATCTATCCATAGTGTTATCCTCAAATTATTAGAGCGTTGCGTTTAGCAACAGATGCATGTAATCAAGAATTTTAGTCATTTTTTAAAAGTTGATTTTAAATGTATTTATAGCACATAAAAATAAATTAGAACGTGGAATGCGATGATAAGATATCGAACATTAATAATGTACTTTTAGATGTAGTTTATTTTTCATAACTAATGAGATAATAGAGTCTGAAAAACGCACTTTTGCCAGGTTTTGGTCAGGGTAGCGTCTTAATGCATTTCAACTGCAGCAGCAGCTTCAAGTTGTACGAATGGTCGCTGAAAGTGACTCTACAATTAGAAGAAGGTTGAAGGAACGTGGACTGGTACCACACAAGCCAACAAATGGACCGAAATTAACTGGAGACCATCGAAGAGCGCGCCTTGACTTTGCACGTGAGCACCTAAATTGGTCATACCTGCAATGGAGCAAAGTTCTCTTCTCTGAAGAATGTAAAATTATGCTCTATGGTAATGACGGAAGGAACAAGGTCTACAGAAGAGATGGAGAATGCTTTGCACAATGCTGCATTGAAGAAAGGCTCAGTTATGGTGGTGGTTCGTGGACGGTTTGAGGAGGAATCAGCGCCGACGGTAAGACAGAGCTTGCTTTCGTGTCTGGACCACGTCTACCTGCTTTGAACTGTCATCGGTACGTGGAACAGTGCCTAAAGCCTCACGTGATTCCCTATTCACACTTTATCGGCAACAGGTCCACATTTATGCACGATAACGCCAGAGCCCACACCGCGAGCGTCGTACGTGATTACCTTACCGAAGTCGGTATCTCCATAATGGAATGGCCAGTGAGGAGCCCGGACATGGATCCAATTGAACATCTCTAGGATCAACTAAAGAGGCATATCTGAGCGAGAGATCCTGCCCCAGACTCACTTGACCAGCTGAAAAGTGCCATTCAGGAAGAATGAGACAACATCCCACAGCATGTCATCGTAACTCTAATCCGATCGATGAAAAACCGGATGTAAGCGGTGATAAGAGCTCGAGGAGGGAACACTAATTATTAAACGTTATTTAATAAAAGTTTTCAGTTTTTTTTTTCACCACGTGTGTTGTTTCATTCATTGCGTGCGTTTGGCAGAAAAAAGCGCTAGCAAGCGCTTACAAGCGCTGAAATAGTTTTCGGCCAGGACACGATTGCTACTTCAGTAGCGCTGACACCATCCGCCATTTTATTTTATTTGTTTGTTTTGACGTAGAGTTTATAAGTTGTTTTGTGCAATATTAGTTTTGAGATAAACATATACATGTTATTAAAAATTCGTGATTGGTAAGTTTTTAATATGAATACTTTACAAACATATATTTAAATTAGGTTAGGTTCTCCGGTGAAAACTAACATCGTGTCCTGGAGGAAAATAGCTACTTACGATTTGACAGCGCCTACCGCTTACGATCGCCATTTTGTTTACAAGCGCTTGCTAGCGCTTTTTTCTGCCAAACGCACCCTTTGTCTTCGTTCTCCATACAAAATAAAAATGACTCATTAAAGAAAACATGAAACCTATGAAAATTTAATTTGAATTTAGAACAATAACATTAGAATTTGAAACATCATAAAACTCACTATTAAGCGACATTAGATATTTATTCGTAAATAATAAAAAAAAACTGATAATCCTTACATAACATAAACTTGCAAGGTGTTTCGATTTTTTTGATGAGAAGTATATATAAATAGTGATATACCGTTTTTTTATATAGGATAGGATGTCGGGCCGGAATCGGGGAAAGTCGCTAGTTACTAAAAATATATTTAATACCTACACATATAATAAATCTGTAGAAAAATTGTAAAAAACGGATTACCATAAAATCTGGTGTGTAATCAGAAATAACCGTGTATAACATATAGGCAACATTTTATCTGCTTACGGAAAAGTAAAAAGGGTTCTGTTTTTCCCTTTCTTTAAAATTTATTCAATGCAATTTCGTATGTGTGTCCACTAAAAGCGGCTGTGCTAAAAACGTTACATAAACATGCAACACCTATTAGCAGCGCCAGAGAAGAATTCGAGCCGCTTTGCGCTGGATGCGGTCAAGTGGAAGAAGCTGGCACTGGGGAACAGTATTCCATGTGAAGCCAAACCTGCGCCTTGTAAAGTTGCAGGTGGTGTGCCGGCATGAAATACTGTCCCGCTCTGCTGAGCACGCCAAGCTTTTTAGAGGTCAATTTGGGCTTCTCTTCCAAGTGACTACGAAACTGCACGTCACTCGATATCCCGACGCCGAGGATTCCGATACTGGCTGAGGTTACAAGGGGAACGCCTTGTATCTGAGGAGATACGACAACGGGGTTCTTTTTAGTAGTTAACGTGCAAACTTGTGTCTTCTGAGAGTTAAACTGGACTAGATTCAGTCGCCCCCAATCCGAGACCTTGTGCAGTAAGATTCGACTTCAGACACAATTTTGTCCCGGTACTGGGATACGTTTTCCCAAGAAATATTGGCACGGCCTGTGTATAGAGCATTTCCAGTGCCGTCATCCGCATAGCAATGAATGTTACCGGTTTGCAACATATCATTGATATGCATAAGAAACAGCGTCGGTGATAGCACGGTGGAACCCCAGCATTAATAGCCTTGTAATCGGAGCATGCACCGTCTACAACGACCTTGATGCTCCGATCTGCAAGAAAGCTGGTGATCCAATTGCATAATTTTTCGGGAAGCCTGTAGAAAGGGAGCTTCGAAAGAAGTGCTTTATGCCAAACACGATCGAAGGCCTTCGCAATGTTCAAACTAACGGTCAATGCCTCCCCCTTGGATTCTACTGCCTCCGCCCATCGATGAGTCAGGTTCGACCTCGAAGAAAACCGTAGAAGCGGTCACTAATCAGCTGGTGATCCTGAAGTTACCGCATGAGCTGGCAGTTTATAATGGATTCCATTACTTTGGAGAACAAATAGGTGATGGCGATAGGCCTGTAGTTTAACGGATCTGAGCGGTCGCCTTTTTTAGGGATCGGGTGGATGAAAGCCGTCTTCCATGATTTCGGGACTACGCCTAGGGAGTAAAAGTACCGGAAAAGACGCGTTAGAACCGGTGCCAACTCTGGAGCACACGTCCTGAGCACAATTGGGGGGGATTCCGTTAGGCTGACTCGACTTGTGGATGTCCAGGGAGAGGATTGCTTTGCAAACCGAGCGCTGTGTGAACCGCACCTCCAACATGGAACACTCACACCGCGGGATGGTCGGCAGCGTGCTCCCCCGTGATCGAGAGTCGAGTTGGACGCAAATGAAGAGCCTAGCACATTGGCTTTCTCTTTTGCGGCATGGGCCAGTGAGTCGTCTTCCCTATGCAGAGATGGAAAAGATGGCTGACAGAAATTCCCTTGGACAGCCTTGGCGAGAGACCAGAATGCACGGGTTCCAGAAGGAAGGCGAACTAGTTTCTCGCCTATTCAGCCTATGTGCTCTGACTTTGCCTTGGCAATGACTCTAAAAGGACCTGGAGGCGGAATTATACTTCCTTTTTTTATAGGATAGGGTGACAAACGAGCACAACACAGTCCACCTGATGGTAAGTGATTGCTGTGGCCCAAAGACATCTACTAAGAAGACATATACTAAGATGGATTGCCTCGTTTCCAGTAAAAAGGGTCTCTGGTTCTCTACACTCACCATTCGAAACACAGTATGTTCCTTCCCCGGTTGAGCCGACCCATGCGTGCTACAACTATACTACTAATATAACTGCAGCATGGCTCTACCACATATAAAAAAGTATAAATACTTTTTAGGGCGCTCGTGTTCACATCCCGGGACGTTGATGCGTCAGCCCAGACCCGGTAGCACTCCTTCTTATAGCTTGATGCTATTTTACAGGAGCGACTATACCATGGTTGAGATCTGCCTCCGATAGGCACCACAGAGGAAGAAATACAAAGTTCCATACCCTGAAGTACCACATCAGTGATAGAGGCGGTAACAACGTTGGGATCGTCCGGCGAGAAGCAAACCCGCTCCCAAGGGTAGGGTGCAAAGAAAGACCGCATCCTATCCCAATCGGCTGACCTATAGTGCCAACACAGCGGCAGCCTGCTGAATTCAACCGCGATTTCAGCGTGAGTGGCCCCACACTCCGGACAAGACAATGATCTAAGAAGTGAAGAGGGGCATCGACGGAGACCTCATATCTTTCCGGATGAGAGATCAGCAGAAGGTCTAACAGGGAAGGTGCATGATACTCCACATCTGGAATCCATGTAGACGCAGTAACCAGTTGTGTCAGACCATATGCCAGGGCAAAATCATGAACAGATCTCCCCGCGTGATTACACGTGAACCAAGCCATTGGGCATGGTGGGCGTTAAAATTGCTCCGAGGATCACGATCTCTGCGGACGGGATGCGTGAGTGGCATGCTGTGTGAATGTTGATAAAGGAAACTCATCGTCGAGCCACCTTCCAGAAGCTGTTGTTTATGGTCGTCAACAAAGTCGTCTGTGGTCCAGCTAGTTACTGATTATAATAAGTGACAAAAGTCTAAAAAGCAGGGTATGGAATGCGAACTCAAAAGGTTGTGGATTCGAATCCGCCATTCGACTACTGACGTGAACCACTCCTATCACAAGCATTTTAAGCTTACCAGGAGTGATTAGTGGGAATATTAGTAATGTTAAAATCATTATTAGTATTTTATTTAAAAAAAATCAAAATCAAACTTACGCATCGTGTCCGGGACCATCGCTATCGATAACTCGTCCTTCAACGGCAAATACCCAAGCCCCAAGTGCTAAAAAGAAGATCACCAACTTGTAGCACTCCATGCTTTGCGCTGCTCGTCCTAACAGTATTTTATGTGTCTAAAATCACGTTTATAAAAGGTTGATGAGGCTTTCGATAATTACTAAAAGCAATTGAGATAATTTCGAGAGCGCATTAAAACCCTTGTTTCTGTGGAGTGGATGATAAAACACTTACACTACCGCCTTAATGAAATCATACATTCCATTAATTAATTTCAGTAATCGACTTTGAAGATATAGGTTATTATATTCGATCGTTCTCTATTTTTATTACAAGATTTTTATATTTTCCGTTCGTTTATACGTGGGAGAGCCGCGCTGCAGCTATATTATGTTTGTATAAAATTTATAGCAATGAGTCGGCTTGAACGGAGTAGGACCACGCTCTCACAGAATACCAGGGTAAAATAGCAGCTTAATGCTGCTATGATTCGTATGACGAGTGTAGAGAACCGGAGACCCTTTTTACAGGAAACGAGGCATTCCATCTAAGTCCTCAGGGGTGACAACGAATCAGCATTTTGATTCTCAATCGATAATAGATGTAGATGTCTCCGGGCCCCAGCATCCACTTACCATCAGGTGAACTATATGCTCTTTTGTTGCCTTTATCCTATAAAATAAAAAAATATTAAATTAAATAGAATAGTATCACAGTTCTATTTATTAATTACAGCCTATCAAAAGAACACTGACGAGCATACCCCCCCCCCCCATAGATTATACCTTATAAATGATTATATTAATATTTGCTTTTTTATTGATTTTTTTATTTATTATATACATTTTTGCGGGTTTGGAAATCGTAGTTTTTTTATTTTTGTTCTGCTGTTATTACAGGATTATTCTTCAAAGAGTAGCCAAATTTTCAACTTAAGTTCAAATATATAAGTAATGATATACTGTTATTGTAAATACGCGTAAATAAGGCTTCTAATTTTATTTGAAACTGCTCATAAATCACATTCAATTTATCCCAAATTGAATGTGATTTATGAGCAGCAACTTTTTAATTACCGCGCATTTTGAATAGGTATACAAGAAAGGACAGAATGTTTGATATTTTTTTAATTATTTTTTCTTAACCTTTTGCCTATGTTACTTATTCTGAACCTTTTCAGCAAGTGCAGTGTTCGCGTAAATTTAAGAAATCATTACTTTTCAGCAAATCTAGCCGGTATATTTACAGAGCAAAAAGGTGCCGCCCATCTCCTGATTCAGTTTTTCTCTGTCGTCTCCCACAGGATGACATGGGGGGAAACATATATTCTTACATCGATACTAAACGGTTAATGAATGAAGTTTATACATAGATACACATACATCCCAAATAAATTACAACTCCATCTCATGATAAAGTCGGTTTATATTATTTTATAAAATCCATTAATTCCAGTTCCAATCCAGATCCACCACTGGAGTCAGGAAAGCTGGTGCTACCAAGTGCTCGTTTTTTTTTTCAGGCCCCATGGCCTCCGTGTAAATGATTCATTCAAAAGTTTACTGTCCCTATACAAAGTTGACTACAACGTTACACAACAAGTCCAAAATAGATCATGCCGGATTTTATTTCCATAATCTATTGCTTCTGAAGAATTACAGTATACTTTTTCATGCATAACCCCATTAACTTATATCTTTACAGTGTATTAGTTGGTGATTGTCCCCTTTTTTTCTTTTCACGTGGTACTAATGTGAATGGAACGAACATTGTAGCTACACTCGCATATACTTTAAGTAAATGGACGCTAGTTTTATTTAGTTTGACCCGTTTGAAGTTTTCTGTTAGCCTGATTCCGCAATTCGTAATATCTATATGAATTTATATACAAAGTGCATTCTTGCATAAATACTTGTTTTGATTTGGTTGATGTACGCTACAAATAACGCCTTCAAAATTTTTTCGAAGTCGTATAATATCGATCACATATACATGTACATTAAACTCGTTTACTTATTAATTGTTTATTACCATAGGATAATTTTACATACACCCGCGACGCAGGAAATAAATTGTTACATTTCGTTGTAGCCTGCCCGCTTAGGGAATTTAATCGTGATCAGTGTTGCCAGATTTTTTTCACCTTCCCCCCTAGATTTTTTCAAAAAACCCCTAGTTTCCCTATGTAGGGGGATAAAAAACCTCTGAACTTTTATTCGGTCAAGTTTCGTGTGAATCAGATTTATCAAAAATAAAAAGTTTCTACTACATACAAGCTACGTTCTTAGACCATTCAACCCAATGGACGAGTGATGCGCCTAATGCTACGAATAAAAAAGTTTGTCACTTTTGGGGAAGAAACACTACATAGACAGTACTGCACACCTACTCAATAACTTTTTGTGTCACTAAGGCACACACAAATCGAAATCTCCAACACTATTACATTTTATGCACACATGTAGGTTAAATAGATCAATATAGAAAAAGTTATGAGTATAAGACGGATAAATTAATTGCGATACTACCATATCGATATTTTATATCGATAATGAATTGTCGGCATTGTCTGTTTTGAAAAAGAATTCGGAAGTTGGTAAGACTAGTGAAAAACCTTCAGAAAAACCTCTAGATTAATTTCGTGATACCTCAACATCCTCCAAAAACCCCTAGATTGAGGAAAAACCTCTTAGATCTGGCAGCACTGATCGTGATAAAGCTTTGAATTTAATGTCATTTCATGGAAAAGTGATACGTCACTAGCAAAGCATTGCCTAATTTTAATCTCTCGTATGCTGTGAAACTTCCGTTTTCCATCACTACGCAATTTGTTTTGTGTTTTGGTTGAATTTAATTATTGTACTGCAAGATGGCACTAAGTGGAAATGAAATGCGACTTTAAACCCTTTACGCTAAAAGACACATGTTGTTTTCTCGTATACCACACATCAGTGATCACATAAAAAAATATTAATGTAGAATCAGTTCGGGAAACATTTTTGTGTTAAATCGAAGCAGTGGATTCATTGAGAGATAATCTAATTATGAAAGTATGTTGGACAAAATTAATAGTCTTGAACTGCAAATTGATCCCGATTATGTAGTGAATTATCAATCGCTTATGGTCTTTGAGGATTTATTATGTCGCGTAAAGCGAGCGTCCAAGCAGCTACAACCTCAACCCAAAGTGACGTAAAGCCAGCGGTTCAGTTTTTCAGTTCAGGTACACTCACGCGACTCGCTTAGATTGCCGATAGATATCCCGATATTTAATGGTGATATTAAAACTTGGCCGTTATTCATTACTAGTTTTTAGAATACTATACATAATAGTCCCTCTTTATCGAGGCGAGGTTACTTTGTGCTCACTGTCGAACGTGAGAGTTGGATCGCGTTCCAACCACTGTATTACTAGGTACCGTGCATATCATAATTAGAGATTCATGCATGAAAACGAATGGAGCGTTCATACCTTATTAGATAGCGCGTCGCAAAGTAATTTTATAACGCAGCAGTGTTGCCAACGTTTGGGATTATTAGTAAACAAGACGCCTTCATGTCGTGTAGTAAAGGAAATTGGAGGCTTCAATATAACGGTCCAAGGTTCGATAAAATTAAAATTTTATTCTCTAAGTCACCGAGCGCCTGCCAACCGTTTCGGTCGACGCTTCCTCAATGACCAATTTCGATATTCTAGCTTTGGCAGATGACACTTACTCCGTCCCTGGAGACTTTGATATGCTCATCGGGACATCTATTTTCCCTCACCTTTTATTACACATCAAGGTCAAGGGTAACTCGTGTATCGCGCCTTACGCACTGGAAACCGTTTTAGATTTCGTTATTGTTGGTGACGCTCCTACCGCTGATAATGTTTCGGCAACCTCTTATTATTGCACTGCTGTTGAGCAGCTCGGGTTATTAGTTCGCAAACTTTGGGAGACGAAGGGGGTGAACGTTTCGCCTACACTTAACCCGAATGATAGATTATGCGAGGAAATTTATATCCGCACGACCGTTAGTGATCACGATGATCGATATAGTGTAGCGCTATCCTCTAAAGGGGATATTTTGTCTCTCGGTGACTCACGTCAAATGGCAGAAAACGTTTTTATTGTTTGGAACGCAAAATGCTCGCTTTTCCCAAGGCGAAGGAAGCTTATGACGGTGTTATTAATGAATATATAAAAGAGAGTTATATATCGCTTGCGTCTCAAAAAATAGATAACTATAAAGACACGCCGTCATATTTCATACTACATCACGGTGTCATCAGGGAAGACAAACTTAGATCCAAGTTACGTGTAGTGCTCGATGCTAGTGCTAGAACTAGCACCCGCCTTTCTCTTAACGACATTCTTTATAGTATTCTTTATAGTTAATATAATAGTAAATTTTCGTTTGTTTCGTATTGCATTATCCACTGATATTCGTCAAATGTTTCTTTTCATTGGGGTCCGTGAATGCGACCGTCGATTCCAGCGCATTTTATATCGCTTTGACCCAAAGACGCCTCTAAAGGTGTTTGGGGATTTAACCGCGTTTATTTTGGTTTAAAGTCGAGCCCATTTCATGTGCTACGCACGGTGAAGCAGCTCGCTACTGTTGAGGGTCCCTCTTACTTTAAATCTAGAATAACAATTGAGAGTGGTTTGTATATGGACGATTTCGTATACTCGGTCGATAACATAGAGGAAGTCATCTCAGCCACCGGCGAAGTTATAAAACTCATAAAAGCAGGTTAATTCAATTTCATCAAGTGGACTAGTATACTATTTTGAATACAATCCCACTATCGCACTGTCTCTAAAGGATTCGACGATTCTGATACACACAAGCTGCTCAGTTTGTGTTGGTCACCCGAATCCGACGTGTTTAGCCTTAAGGTAAAACCACTCGCTAATACTTTACCTTAAGGCTAAATACATTTTATGGCACCGGTGGTATTGTACGCTAAGCTTTTGATTAAACGACTTTGGTTATCACATAACTGACGGTGACTGGGATGACAGATGACACACCGCCCGATAACATTATTCGTTCGTGGCTACGTTTTAGGGAGGAACTCTCTTTACTAAGT